TCACACCAAAATTAGGCAGTTACATCACATCAAAATTAGGCAGTTACATCACATCAAAATTAGGCAGTTACATCACATCAAAATTAGGCAGTTACATCACATCAAAATTAGGCAGTTACATCACACCAAAATTAGGCAGTTATAATATCACACCAAATCTAGGCAGTTATATCACACCAAAATTAGGCAGTTATAATATCACACCAAAATTAGGCAGTTATATCACACCAAATCTAGGCAGTTACATCACACCAAAATTAGGCAGTTATAATATCAAACCATAATTAGGCAGTTATATCACACCAAAATTAGGCAGTTATAATATCACACCAAAATTAGGCAGTTATAATACCACATCAAAATTAGGCAGTTATATCACACCAAATCTAGGCAGTTATATCACACCAAAATTAGGCAGTTATTTCACACCAAAATTAGGCAGTTATATCACACCAAAATTAGGCAGTTATATCACATCAAAATTAGGCAGTTATATCACACCAAAATTAGGCAGTTATATCACACCAAAATTAGGCAGTTACATCACACCAAAATTAGGCAGTTATATCACACCAAATCTAGGCAGTTATATCACACCAAAATTAGGCAGTTATAATATCACGCCAAAATTAGGCAGTTACATCACATCAAAATTAGGCAGTTATATCACACCAAAATTAGGCAGTTATAATATCACACCAAAATTAGGCAGTTACATCACACCAAAATTAGGCAGTTATAATATCACACCAAAATTAGGCAGTTATAATATCACCCCAAAATTAGGCAGTTACATCACATCAAGATTAGGCAGTTATATCACACCAAAATTAGGCAGTTATAATATCACACCAAAATTAGGCAGTTACATCACACCAAAATTAGGCAGTTATAATATCACACCAAAATTAGGCAGTTATAATATCACGCCAAAATTAGGCAGTTACATCACATCAAAATTAGGCAGTTATATCACACCAAAATTAGGCAGTTATAATATCACACCAAAATTAGGCAGTTATAATATCACGCCAAAATTAGGCAGTTACATCACATCAAAATTAGGCAGTTATATCACACCAAAATTAGGCAGTTATATCACACCAAAATTAGGCAGTTATAATATCACACCAAAATTAGGCAGTTATAATAGCACACCAAAATTAGGCAGTTATATCACACCAAAATTAGGCAGTTATATCACACCAAATCTAGGCAGTTACATCACACCAAAATTAGGCAGTTATAATATCACACCAAAATTAGGCAGTTATAATATCACACCAAAATTAGGCAGTTATATCACACCAAAATTAGGCAGTTATAATATCACGCCAAAATTAGGCAGTTACATCACATCAAAATTAGGCAGTTATATCACACCAAAATTAGGCAGTTATAATATCACACCAAAATTAGGCAGTTATAATATCACGCCAAAATTAGGCAGTTATATCACACCAAAATTAGGCAGTTATAATATCACGCCAAAATTAGGCAGTTATATCACACCAAAATTAGGCAGTTATAATATCACGCCAAAATTAGGCAGTTATAATATCACGCCAAAATTAGGCAGTTACATCACACCAAAATTAGGCAGTTATATCACACCAAAATTAGGCAGTTATAATATCACACCAAAATTAGGCAGTTATATCACACCAAAATTAGGCAGTTACATCACATCAAAATTAGGCAGTTATATCACATCAAAATTAGGCAGTTATATCACACCAAAATTAGGCAGTTATAATATCACACCAAAATTAGGCAGTTATAATATCACGCCAAAATTAGGCAGTTATATCACACCAAAATTAGGCAGTTATATCACACCAAAATTAGGCAGTTATAATATCACACCAAAATTAGGCAGTTATAATATCACACCAAAATTAGGCAGTTATAATATCACACCAAAATTAGGCAGTTATATCACACCAAATCTAGGCAGTTATATCACACCAAAATTAGGCAGTTATATCACGCCAAAATTAGGCAGTTATATCACACCAAAATTAGGCAGTTAACATCAAAATTAGGCAGTTATATCACACCAAAATTAGGCAGTTATATCACACCAAAATTAGGCAGTTATAATATCACGCCAAAATTAGGCAGTTATAATATCACACCAAAATTAGGCAGTTATATCACATCAAAATTAGGCAGTTATATCACACCAAAATTAGGCAGTTATATCACATCAAAATTAGGCAGTTATAATATCACGCCAAAATTAGGCAGTTACATCACACCAAAATTAGGAAGTTATAATATCACGCCAAAATTAGGCAGTTATAATATCACGCCAAAATTAGGCAGTTATATCACATCAAAATTAGGCAGTTATATCACACCAAAATTAGGCAGTTATATCACATCAAAATTAGGCAGTTATAATATCACGCCAAAATTAGGCAGTTATATCACACCAAAATTAGGCAGTTATAATATCACACCAAAATTAGGCAGTTATAATATCACACCAAAATTAGGCAGTTATATCACACCAAAATTAGGCAGTTATATCACACCAAAATTAGGCAGTTATAATATCACACCAAAATTAGGCAGTTATATCACACCAAAATTAGGCAGTTATAATATCACACCAAAATTAGGCAGTTATATCACACCAAAATTAGGCAGTTATATCACACCAAAATTAGGCAGTTATATCACACCAAAATTAGGCAGTTATATCACACCAAAATTAGGCAGTTATAATATCACACCAAAATTAGGCAGTTATATCACACCAAAATTAGGCAGTTATAATATCACACCAAAATTAGGCAGTTATATCACACCAAAATTAGGCAGTTATATCACACCAAAATTAGGCAGTTATAATATCACACCAAAATTAGGCAGTTATATCACACCAAAATTAGGCAGTTATAATATCACACCAAAATTAGGCAGTTATATCACACCAAAATTAGGCAGTTATATCACACCAAAATTAGGCAGTTATAATATCACACCAAAATTAGGCAGTTATATCACACCAAAATTAGGCAGTTATAATATCACATCAAAATTAGGCAGTTATATCACACCAAAATTAGGCAGTTATATCACACCAAAATTAGGCAGTTATAATATCACACCAAAATTAGGCAGTTATATCACACCAAAATTAGGCAGTTATAATATCACACCAAAATTAGGCAGTTATATCACACCAAAATTAGGCAGTTATAATATCACACCAAAATTAGGCAGTTATATCACACCAAAATTAGGCAGTTACATCACACCAAAATTAGGCAGTTATATCACACCAAAATTAGGCAGTTATAATATCACACCAAAATTAGGCAGTTATATCACACCAAAATTAGGCAGTTATAATATCACACCAAAATTAGGCAGTTATATCACACCAAAATTAGGCAGTTATATCACATCAAAATTAGGCAGTTATAATATCACGCCAAAATTAGGCAGTTACATCACACCAAAATTAGGCAGTTATATCACACCAAAATTAGGCAGTTATAATATCACGCCAAAATTAGGCAGTTATAATATCACGCCAAAATTAGGCAGTTATATCACACCAAAATTAGGCAGTTATATCACACCAAAATTAGGCAGTTATAATATCACACCAAAATTAGGCAGTTATATCACATCAAAATTAGGCAGTTATAATATCACACCAAAATTAGGCAGTTATATCACACCAAAATTAGGCAGTTATATCACACCAAAATTAGGCAGTTATATCACACCAAAATTAGGCAGTTATAATATCACACCAAAATTAGGCAGTTATAATATCACATCAAAATTAGGCAGTTATATCACACCAAAATTAGGCAGTTATAATATCACACCAAAATTAGGCAGTTATAATATCACACCAAAATTAGGCAGTTATATCACACCAAATGTAGGCAGTTATATCACACCAAAATTAGGCAGTTATAATATCACACCAAAATTAGGCAGTTATATCACACCAAAATTAGGCAGTTATATCACACCAAAATTAGGCAGTTATAATATCACACCAAAATTAGGCAGTTATATCACACCAAAATTAGGCAGTTATATCACACCAAAATTAGGCAGTTATAATATCACACCAAAATTAGGCAGTTATATCACACCAAAATTAGGCAGTTATAATATCACACCAAAATTAGGCAGCTATACCACACCAAAGTTGCCATCACATTACATGATTCACATTAGAAGATAAAACAACTGCATCATTTCTGTAGGAGCCAAAAATCTATTCTTTTTTTGGAATTTTGGCTAGAGAACATCTATATTTTATGAAAACATTTCTTCTACTTTAGTCCAGCATAATATATTGACTACACACCAGCAATACTCTCTTCACAGTCAAGTTTTTAAACAAAAATTTTTTTTTTCACAAATGGTTGTGAGTCTAGTTGACACAGTGGGTGGGGTTGGAAGTCACATTGTGTTGCTAGGCAACGTCATTTTTGTTTTGTTGATTATTTAGCGGAAGAAATTCTATTTTTACCCAGTGGCACCTGAGAGGTAACGTATAGTTTGGCGCGTATTTTACTATAAATAGTGACTAATACAAATGTACTAAGCTTTATTTGCCGTATACAATTTTTTTCTTTAAATTGGCGTCTTGAGGTGCATTTTGCATCCCCACCCCGTGACGTAACTGTTCGTACCACAACCCCATGGAATGTCAGCAAGGAAAAGACGCCAATGGGTGCTAATATTGTTAAAAAAGGCATCACTACTAATTGATTTCAGCTTAATTAAAGTTTGGTGACTAGTATTGATTTACTCTAAAGGGGGATCAATATAAAAAAACAGACACAATTGTGACTTTTAGCCCCACAAAAACCTTTCATCAAAAATGTTTTAAAATTTAAAATGTGCAAACAAATTAAAATCTTTGTTTTAATTTACCATCTTATTTTTGTCAGATTTCATTCATGTGAATAACAAAGAAACATTTAACATGATTGCGTTCCTCCCCCTCCCCACCCCAGCAAACAGTTCCCATCCCATCGTATCTGATCGCTCTGGCAGTTGGGGATTTAAAGTCTGCTGAGATTGGCCCCAGAAGTTGCGTGTGGGCAGAACCTAGTATTCTGGTAAATAGACTAGCCTACATGTTGATAAATACTGACATCACACTCAGCGTTATCTATCTGTCTGTCCGTCTATCCTTATATCTATCCATCCATCAATCCATCTTTATATATTTATATCTATGTAAAGCAATGTATGTGTGTGTTTATCTCTGTCTGTCTCTCTGTATTTTATGCATTATTACACCTTTAATACGATTACCATGAAACGTTGGGAAGTTGTTGAAAATACTCCTGGGTTGGTTTCTGCTGAGGGGGGGGGGGGGGAATTCAAATTCGCACAAGTGGCGCTCCAGTAGGGCGCGATTTGATTCTTCTCTATATACGGTTTGTAAAATAAAAGTCGATTGCGATTTGACACCATTAATCCGATCGCCGTATAATCTTGCGGAGCTGATGAAAACAATCCAGGGGAAGTTTCTGAAAATAAAAAAATAAAAAATTCCGCAAGGGCGGCGCTTTAGAAGGATGCGATTTTCTCTATATACGATATATACAATATATAAGTCGGATGCGGTTCGACACATTTCATCGGGTTGCTATGAAACTTCGGAGGGAGAGTTGATGCGAATACTTCCAAGAGGGTTTCTGCGGGGGAAAAAAATAAAATTTCTTATGGGCGCGCCCGGGAGGGTGCATTTTTGGCTATACACGGTGTGGCGCCCAGAGTTCCAGATCGGCTATGTTAGCACTTGGCATCAGTTAATCAGGCGTCCTGCATAGCGGGGAATGGGTACTACTATATTCAGCGTTAAAACTTCAACAGCTGCAGTCGACTATTGCGTGACCCGAAGCGCCACAGGGTCCCATGTGAGCACTATGGAGCCTACGTTTGTTTTTTTAATAAAGGATATACACTAAAAACACGGCGGGCAACAATAATCATCGAATCAAACGTGTCCTCCGGCGCCCCTGCAGGGTGCGATTTTGCGCCCAGGGCTTTCAAGTGAGTGCGATGGCGCCAATGGATAAGATTGGGCGTTATAGTCGTTCACTAAAGCTGTGCCCCGATAAAGATGATCCAAGCGTAGGCATTGTTTTGCATTTAAATAACTCAGTTTTAGAAAACAAGGTCACACGTCTAAGAATACAGGATTGGTAAAGCATTGATGAAACCCTCCTAAAATATTTTGTCAGACTTTATTTGTGTTGTATGCATTACTACACCTTTCATCCGATCGCCATAAAACTTGGGAAAGTTGTTTAAAATGTTCATGTGGAGGTTTCTGCAAAAAAAAAAAAAAAAATGCACGGTCGGCGCCCCGGTAGGTTGCAATTTGGCGCACCGGGCTGTCCCGTGAGCGCTATGGCGCATACGTTCATTTTAAACAGTGCGATAGACTATGGATTCAATAGGGCATTATATTTATAGTCGTTCACTAAAATTAAGCAGGCGCGTCCGCCCTAGTAGGGTGTGATAGGCGCCCACGGAGCGCTATGGCGCATAAGTTCGTTGTAAAGAGTGTGATAGAATATGGATAAGAAGTAGTATTTATTTCACTGAATTGAATCAGGGTACGATTTGCCCCGGGCTATCCCAGTAGCGTAGCGAGGGGGGGGCGGGGACACATATGTCCCCGGGCGCCGACCTTAGGGGGCGCCAAAATGGGTTGGAAAAATAAATTGAAAGGTTGAGGGGGGTGCAAATCGAAAGTTTGAGGGGGGGGGGGGCGCAAATCGAAATCTTGGGGGGGGGGGGGGGGTGCAAATCGAAAAGTTTGTCCCCGGGCGCCGGGAAGGGTCGCTACGCCTCTGGGCTATCCTAACCCTAACCCCCGCTGCAACGCGTGTGGACAGGCACGCTAGTTTTAAATATAGGACAGAACTAATGTTGAATTTGTTTAATTGGACAGAGCTAAAGATGAAATTGTTTAATTAGACAGAGCTAAAGATGAAGTTGTTTAATTGGACAGAACCAAAGATGAATTTGTTTAGTTAGACAGAGCCAAAGATGAAATGTTTAATTAGACAGAGCTAAGGCAGAATTTTTTAAAAATTAGACAGAGCTAAAAATGAAATTGTTTAATTGGACAGAGCTAAAGATGAATTTGTTTAACAGGAGAAAGCCCGAGCTGAGTTTGATGGTGATGTGGAAAAGTTCATCACAACAGGGGAGCAACTATTTGGTGACTATATCTGGGGGCGCTATGATATTCTGGTTATGCCCCCTTCTTTTCCTTACGGTGGAATGGAGAATCCTTGTTTGACTTTTGTCACTCCATGCCTTATAGTGGGAGACAAATCTTTGGTCGATGTCGTCATTCATGAGATTGTAAGTTTTATCTGTGAGATTGTAAGTTTTATCTGTGAGATTGTAAGTTTTATCTGTGAGATTGTAAGTTTTATCTGTGAGGTTGTAAGTTTTATCTGTGAGATTGTTGACTTTGTCAGATTGTAAGTTTTTTATGTGAGATTGTAAGTTTTATCTGTGAGATTGTAAGTTTTATCTGTGAGATTGTAAGTTTTATCTGTGAGGTTGTAAGTTTTATCTGTGAGATTGTAAGTTTTATCTGTGAGATTGTAAGTTTTATCTGTGAGGTTGTAAGTTTTATCTGTGAGATTGTTGACTTTGTCAGATTGTAAGTTTTTTATGTGAGATTGTAAGTTTTATCTGTGAGATTGTAAGTTTTATCTGTGAGATTGTAAGTTTTATCTGTGAGGTTGTAAGTTTTATCTGTGAGATTGTAAGTTTTATCTGTGAGATTGTAAGTTTTATCTGTGTGATTGTTGACTTTATCTGTGAGATTGTAAGTTTTATCTGTGAGATTGTAAGTTTTATCTGTGAGATTGTAAGTTTTATCTGTGAGATTGTAAGTTTTATCTGTGAGATTGTTGACTTTATCTGTGAGATTGTAAGTTTTATCTGTGAGATTGTAAGTTTTATCTGTGTGATTGTAAGTTTTATCTGTGAGATTGTAAGTTTTATCTGTGAGATTGTTGACTTTATCTGTGAGATTGTAAGTTTTATCTGTGAGATTGTAAGTTTTATCTGTGAGATTGTAAGTTTTATCTGTGAGATTGTAAGTTTTATCTGAGAGATTGTAAGTTTTATCTGTGAGATTGTAAGTTTTATCTGTGAGATGGTAAGTTTTATCTGTGAGATTGTAAGTTTTATCTGTGAGATTGTAAGTTTTATCTGTGAGATTGTAAGTTTTATCTGTGAGATTGTAAGTTTTATCTGTGAGATTGTAAGTTTTATCTGTGAGATTGTAAGTTTTATCTGTGAGATTGTAAGTTTTATCTGTGAGATTGTAAGTTTTATCTGTGAGATTGTAAGTTTTATCTGTGAGATTGTTAGTTTTATCTGTGAGATAGTTGACTTTATATGTGAGATTGTAAGTTTTATCTGTGAGATTGTAAGTTTTATCTGTGAGATTGTAAGTTTTATCTGTGAGATTGTAAGTTTTATCTGTGAGATTGTAAGTTTTATCTGAGAGATTGTAAGTTTTATCTGTGAGATTGTAAGTTTTATCTGTGAGATTGTAAGTTTTTTATGTGAGATTGGTTTTTTTGCCCCATAATTTTAAACTTATTTTAAATGTGTAAGTGTATGTTACAGTTAGGAGTTGTAAAACTCAAATGTTTACAAACTTTTTTTTGTTTCCCAACAGACGCACAGCTGGTTTGGTAATCTTGTAACAAATGCCAACTGGAGTGAATTCTGGTTGAATGAGGTTGGTTGTGGTTGGTGGTTGTTGGGGTTGGTAGAGGTTGGTGGTGTTGGTAGTGGTTGCTGGTTTTTGTAGTGGTTGGTGGTGTTGGTATTTTGAAGTTTAGACTATGTTTACATGTGTGACGTTTCCCTTCTTGTGATGGACCTACATGTGACTTTATTGAACCTTTTGTTGCAAATATTATGTTCAGATCTTAAAATGTTTGTCCTCAGGGTTTGACCATGTTTGGCCAAAGAAGAATTGAGGAGATTTTGTTTGGGAAGGCACACATGTGTCTGGAGGCCATCACTGGCAGAACTCTTCTGGAACAAATGGTGGAACAAATGGTTGAAAAGGATGGACAGGTAAGCAGACACAGTTACACTGGCTGATGAATTCAGAAAAACAAAACATTGAGCACACAGTTACACCATCTGATGAATTCAGAAAAACAAAACATTGAGCACACAGTTACACCAGCTGATGAATTCAGAAAAACAAAACATTGAGCACACAGTTACACCATCTGATGAATTCAGAAAAACAAAACATTGAGCACACAGTTACACCAGCTGATGAATTCAGAAAAACAAAACATTGAGCACACAGTTACACCATCTGATGAATTCAGAAAAACAAAACATTGAGCACACAGTTACACCAGCTGATGAATTCAGAAAAACAAAACATTGAGCACACAGTTACACCAGCTGATGAATTCAGAAAAACAAAACATTGAGCACACAGTTACACCAGCTGATGAATTCAGAAAAACAAAACATTGAGCACACAGTTACACCATCTGATGAATTCAGAAAAACAAAACATTGAGCACACAGTTACACCAGCTGATGAATTCAGAAAAACAAAACATTGAGCACACAGTTACACCAGCTGATGAATTCAGAAAAACAAAACATTGAGCACACAGTTACACCATCTGATGAATTCAGAAAAACAAAACATTGAGCACACAGTTACACCAGCTGATGAATTCAGAAAAACAAAACATTGAGCACACAGTTACACCAGCTGATGAATTCAGAAAAACAAAACATTGAGCACACAGTTACACCAGCTGATGAATTCAGAAAAACAAAACATTGAGCACACAGTTACACCAGCTGATGAATTCAGAAAAACAAAACATTGAGCACACAGTTACACCAGCTGATGAATTCAGAAAAACAAAACATTGAGCACACAGTTACACCATCTGATGAATTCAGAAAAACAAAACATTGAGCACACAGTTACACCAGCTGATGAATTCAGAAAAACAAAACATTGAGCACACAGTTATACCAGCTGATGAATTCAGAAAAACAAAACATTGAGCACACAGTTACACCATCTGATGAATTCAGAAAAACAAAACATTGAGCACACAGTTACACCAGCTGATGAATTCAGAAAAACAAAACATTGAGCACACAGTTACACCATCTGATGAATTCAGAAAAACAAAACATTGAGCACACAGTTACACCAGCTGATGAATTCAGAAAAACAAAACATTGAGCACACAGTTACACCAGCTGATGAATTCAGAAAAACAAAACATTGAGCACACAGTTACACCAGCTGATGAATTCAGAAAAACAAAACATTGAGCACACAGTTACACCATCTGATGAATTCAGAAAAACAAAACATTGAGCACACAGTTACACCAGCTGATGAATTCAGAAAAACAAAACATTGAGCACACAGTTACACAGGCTGATGAATTCAGAAAAACAAAACATTGAGCACACAGTTACACCAGCTGATGAAGTCAGAAAAACAAAACATTGAGTCTGAAGATGAATAAAACTCTGGCTAGTTTCAAACTAAAATACCTGGTTTATCCGCCATAGGTGGATGAAGCATTATGATACTCTTATCCAAAAAATTAATAAGTAAATCAATTTAAATAGAGAAAAAACATTAGCAGAGAACTAAGAAAATTGAGTTAATAAGTCAGATAAAAAAATGGCCTCAGTTGATGAATGAGATGAGAAAATGCCGTGTTTTATCCTAGGATCACCCACTGACCAGACTTCGTGTAGTGATTGGTGAGGACGTTGACCCTGATGACACCTACAATGAAACTCCTTACGAGAAAGGTTTTGCTTTTGTTTGCTACATGCGGAGTCTTGTTGGAGACGACAACAAATTTGACCAGTTTCTTAAAAGTTATGTCAACCACTTTAAGTTCCAGGTAATTGTCTTGCTCTTCTAGTTAAACAGGTCATTTCTTAGTTCAGCTCTTTTAGTTAAACAGGTCATTTCTTAGTTCAGCTCTTTTAGTTAAACAGGTCATTTCTTAGTTCAGCTCTTTTAGTTAAACAGGTCATTTCTTAGTTCAGCTCTTCTAGTTAAACAGGTCATTTCTTAGTTCAGCTCTTCTTTTAGTTAAACAGGTCATTTCTTAGTTCAGCTCTTCTAGTTAAACAGGTCATTTCTTAGTTCAGCTCTTCTAGTTAAACAGGTCATTTCTTAGTTCAGCTATTCTAAACAGGTCATTTCTTAGTTCAGCTATTCTAAAAAGGTCATTTCTTAGCCCAGCTCTTCTAGTTAAACCAAGCATATCCCCTTAACTGAGTGATTTTAATCAATTAATTATGTGAGAGTACAAGTACATATTCTGCTTGTTTATATTTTGAATCTAGAGTGTTGTGGCTGAGGACTTGTTTGATTTTTTCCTGGACAACTTTCCTCACCTGAAGGCAAATAAGGTGCATGAGAGGTAATGTTTTTCTTCTGATGGTAATTTGTTAGCATCTTCTTAATTACATTAATAGGTTCATTAGAACAGGTTGAGATTAAATCTAACAGGTAGTTACAGAACAGGTTGGGATTAAATCTAACAGGTAGTTACTGAACAGGTTGGGATTAAATCTTACAGGTAGTTACTGAACAGGTTGGGATTAAATATTACAGGTAGTTACTGAACAGGTTGGGATTAAATCTTACAGGTAGTTACTGAACAGGTTGGGATTAAATCTTACAGGTAGTTACTGAACAGGTTGGGATTAAATCTTACAGGTAGTTACTGAACAGGTTGGGATTAAATCTTACAGGTAGTTACTGAACAGGTTGGGATTAAATATTACAGTGTGATAGATGGAAATAAATGTTGTACCAGTGTGATAGATGGGAATAAATGTTGTATCAAGACATTGTGCCAGCATTAAAACTGAAAATGATGTTTAATTTCTTATTAAATTGGATCTTATTGTGTCAGTCATTTCCTTAAAAAAATGACATTTTCATGTAAAGACATGATGTAGTAACACAGCAAAGTTGTGTAGGGTGTAGCAGTGGTTTGATGTAGGATGTAGCAGTGGTTTGATGTAGGATGTAGCAGTGGTTTGATGTAGGGTGTAGCAGTGGTTTGATGTAGGATGTAGCAGTGGTTTGATGTAGGATGTAGCATTGGTTTGATGTAGGATGTAGCAGTGGTTTGATGTAGGGTGTAGCAGTGGTTTGATGTAGGATGTAGCATTGGTTTGATGTAGGATGTAGCAGTGGTTCAATGTAGCAGTGGTTTGATGTAGGATGTAGCAGTGGTTTGATGTAGGATGTAGCAGTGGTTTGATGTAGGATGTAGCAGTGGTTTGAAGTAGGGTGTAGCAGTGGTTTGATGTAGGATGTAGCAGTGGTTTGATGTAGGATGTAGCAGTGGTTTGATGTAGGGTGTAGCAGTGGATTAATGTAGGATGTAGCAGTGGTTTGATGTAGGATGTAGCAGTGGTTTGATGTAGGGTGTAGCAGTGGTTTGAAGTAGGGTGTAGCAGTGGTTTTATGTAGGGTGTAGCAGTGGTTTGATGTAGGATGTAGCAGTGGTTTGATGTAGGGTGTAGCAGTGGTTTGATGTAGGGTGTAGCAGTGGTTTGATGTAGGATGTAGCAGTGGTTTGATGTAGGGTGTAGCAGTGGTTTGATGTAGGATGTAGCAGTGGTTTGATGTAGGATGTAGCAGTGGTGTGATGTAGGGTGTAGCAGTGGTTTGATGTAGGGTGTAGCAGTGGTTTGATGTAGGGTGTAGCAGTGGTTTGATGTAGGGTGTAGCAGTGGTTTGATGTAGGGTGTAGCAGTGGTTTGATGTAGGGTGTAGCAGTGGTTTGATGTAGGATGTAGCAGTGGTTTGATGTAGGGTGTAGCAGTGGTTTGATGTAGGGTGTAGCAGTGGTTTGATGTAGGGTGTAGCAGTGGTTTGATGTAGGATGTAGCATTGGTTTGATGTAGGATGTAGCAGTGGTTCAATGTAGCAGTGGTTTGATGTAGGATGTAGCAGTGGTTTGATGTAGGATGTAGCAGTGGTTTGATGTAGGATGTAGCAGTGGTTTGAAGTAGGGTGTAGCAGTGGTTTGATGTAGGATGTAGCAGTGGTTTGATGTAGGATGTAGCAGTGGTTTGATGTAGGGTGTAGCAGTGGATTAATGTAGGATGTAGCAGTGGTTTGATGTAGGATGTAGCAGTGGTTTGATGTAGGGTGTAGCAGTGGTTTGAAGTAGGGTGTAGCAGTGGTTTTATGTAGGGTGTAGCAGTGGTTTGATGTAGGATGTAGCAGTGGTTTGATGTAGGGTGTAGCAGTGGTTTGATGTAGGGTGTAGCAGTGGTTTGATGTAGGATGTAGCAGTGGTTTGATGTAGGGTGTAGCAGTGGTTTGATGTAGGATGTAGCAGTGGTTTGATGTAGGATGTAGCAGTGGTGTGATGTAGGGTGTAGCAGTGGTTTGATGTAGGGTGTAGCAGTGGTTTGATGTAGGGTGTAGCAGTGGTTTGATGTAGGGTGTAGCAGTGGTTTGATGTAGGGTGTAGCAGTGGTTTGATGTAGGGTGTAGCAGTGGTTTGATGTAGGATGTAGCAGTGGTTTGATGTAGGGTGTAGCAGTGGTTTGATGTAGGGTGTAGCAGTGGTTTGATGTAGGGTGTAGCAGTGGTTTGATGTAGGGTGTAGCAGTGGTTTGATGTAGGATGTAGCAGTGGTTTGATGTAGCAGTGGTTTGATGTCTTGACATTTTCAGGCCAGGTTTTGAGTTTGACAAAACTTGGCTACAGGGCACTGGCCTGCCACCATTTACACCTGATCTCTCAGCCAGGAGGGAGCTGACAGACGAAGCTGAGGAGGTAGCTGATCAAATCATCGCTGGTCAACTACAGGTGAGTAGAGTTGGTCAACTACAGGTGAGTAGAGTTGGTCAACTACAGGTGAGTAGAGTTGGTCAACTACAGGTGAGTAGAGTTGGTCAACTACAGGTGAGTAGAGTTGGTCAACTACAGGTGAGTAGAGTTGGTCAACTACAGGTGAGTAGAGTTGGTCAACTACAGGTGAGTAGAGTTGGTCAACTACAGGTGAGTAGAGTTGGTCAACTACAGGTGAGTAGAGTTGGTCAACTACAGGTGAGTAGAGTTGGTCAACTACAGGTGAGTTGGTCAACTACAGGTGAGTAGAGTTGGTCAACTACAGGTGAGTAGAGTTGGTCAACTACAGGTGAGTAGAGTTGGTCAACTACAGGTGAGTAGAGTTGGTCAACTACAGGTAAGTAGAGTTGGTCAACTACAGGTGAGTAGAGTTGGTCAACTACAGGTGAGTAGAGTTGGTCAACTACAGGTGAGTAGAGTTGGTCAACTACAGGTGAGTTGGTCAACTACAGGTGAGTAGAGTTGGTCAACTACAGGTGAGTAGAGTTGGTCAACTACAGGTGAGTAGAGTTGGTCAACTACAGGTGAGTAGAGTTGGTCAACTACAGGTGAGTAGAGTTGGTCAACTACAGGTGAGTTGGTCAACTACAGGTGAGTAGAGTTGGTCAACTACAGGTGAGTAGAGTTGGTCAACAACTCCTGGTAAACCTAACTTTTTGCCACATTTTAATTAACTGTAAGGCAGGAAATAAAATAAAGATGTGAAGTCTAAAGTGTGAACTCCCAATGATTGATTCAAACATTTGATTTCAATTTAAGAATTCTTGTACATATATTGTAAAACTTAGGAAATTCTTATACACATGTTGTAAAACTTAAGAATTCTCATATATATAGTAAAACTCTTGAGAGCTCGGTTATTTTATAATTGCACCTGTGACCTCCACCATTGAATCTTTAGAAAAACCCAAGTATGAGAGAGTGGGGGGCATACAAGACGATGCACTTTTTGGATCAACTGTTTGCTCACTCCCCCCTGCCTGCAGCCAGCATCAAGCATGTGTTAGATGAGTACAACTTTCTCTCTGACTCACAGAATGCAGAGGTAAACTAAACATAAACTAAACATAAACTAAACATAAACTAAACATAAACTAAACATAAACTAAACATAAACTAAACATAAACTAAACATAAACTAAACATAAACTAAACATAAACTAAACATAAACTAAACATAAACTAAACATAAAATAAACATTTGTTTCTTTTGTTCTAAACTTTTATATTTAAAATTTCACTATTTTAAGGATTTTATATTAGGCCTATAGTTTTCTAAAGAACCTACTAGTTTTTTAGGGGAACTTTACTCCAGTTTAAAAAGGGAACTTTACTACAGTTTAATAAGGGAACTTAACTATAGTTTTCTAAGGGGCCTTCTACAGTTTTCTAGGGGAACTTAACTAACATTTTCTAAGAGAACTTTACAACAGCTTCTAAGGATCTTTAGTTTTCTAGGGGAACTTTACTAACATTTTCTAAGGGAACTTTACAATAGTGTCTTAGGATCTTTAGTTTTCTAGGGGAACTTTACTAACATTTTCTAAGGGAACTTTACAATAGTTTCTAGATTTCTAGGGGAACTTTACTAACATTTTCTAAGGGAACTTTACAATAGTGTCTTAGGATCTTTAGTTTTCTAGGGGAACTTAAGTAAAATTTTCTAGGGGAACTTTAGTTTTCCATCATCCCTTCATATGCTGAGGTCAAGAAACATATATTCTACTTCATCTACTCATCTAATTATAGTGGCCTATTTTGTCTGAATTAAATTATTGATACAAAAAATATGTTGTCTAGCTGAGACTACGCTGGAGCAAGTTGGTCATTAAAAATAATTTAACTGAAAGAAAAGAGGATGTTAAAAAATTCTTGCTCAGTCAAGGTAACTTATTATTTTAAAATTATCTCAATTAACTCAACTAATTATTATTGTGTTTTATTTTTTTAACTGTATAAAAATGAACCACATTTTCAAAAAAAACAAAACCACAAGTCACAACTTCTAGTCCACTAGCTCTGTGCTATAAACTGCCAAGAGAGGTAACCTATAATATTATGTTATCTGTGCCAAGGGAGGTAACCTATAATATTATGTTATCAGTGCCAAGGGAGGTAACCTATAATATTATGTTATCTGTGCAGGCAAACAGAAGTACACCCTGCCCCTGTATGACTGTATGCTGCATGGATCCGTGGAGATGAAAGAATATGCCGGAAACTGTTTTCTTGAGACAAAAGATTTGCTGCATGTTAATGTCAGGAAAAATATAAAAAAATTACTGTAGGTAAAATGGTAGAGCCAGAGCATTGGCTTTTACTCGCGGGAGTGTCTTGGTTTTATTTGCCACGGTGTCCTAGTTTTACACCCCATGGTGTCCTAGTTTTTTTGGCTGGGTGTCCTAGTTTTACACCCAACTTTTCTTACATTTTTTTTACTTTTAAAGCAATGTAAATATGCCTAAAATAAGAGCCATAAAATGTATCCATATTTATGGTTTTTGTACTTACTTTCATAGCATATTTAAAAAGCATATCTTTATTTTTGTTTAAAAACCATTTTGTAGCATTTCAAACTGCTTTATGACAGCATAGAATGACTGAGCTATTTAAAAAAAGGGACATATTTGATGCAGCAGTTTTTTAAGATGATATATGGTTCATTAATTTTTAAACCTCCATTTAGCATGGATACAAGCGGTGGATTTTTTTGGATCCTGTATGCCACAGAGTTATTTACAGATTCCCTCCCCTACAAATTATTTTTACAACAAGTTAAATGAAGTAGGCTATCAAAGGGGGAGGGGGGGGGGATAAAATGAATAAATTATGTTTAGCATTAATGTGTAGATATGTATAGATCTAGCTAGAATTATTTATCTTTTTAATACTTAGCCCAAAGATTTATTGTGGTTGTCAATTAATGTCATCCAGTTAATTAATGTCATCCAGTTAATTATGTCAACATTCATATTACCAAATTTATCAAAGCAAAACAGACCTAGAACAAGACATTCAGGTAGTCCAATAATGCATCTTCATCAAATCTTTCTGTTTTAATATTGTTTACCGTAAAATTTTGTTTGGTTTAATATTTTTTATCCTAAAATACTTTACCTTAAAATTATGTTTATGTTTTATTATTGTTTATCCTAAAATAGTTTAGCCCTAAAATTATGTTTATGTTTTAATATTGTTTATCCTAAAATAGTTTAGCCCTAAAATTATGTTTGTTTAATATTGTTTTCCTTTGTTAAATATTTTTAATCCGAAAAAAATCTTTAAATACTATTTAATAAATACTAGATTCTACTACTATAGTGGTAAACATGCACAAAAATAAAGAGCAAGTTTACTATATATATTTTTTGTTTGTTTCAAATATTAAAGTAACTAATTTTGTTTAAAAAGTTGAACATCTAACACATTTTTTATGTCACACCGCATCCTGCATTTGATTTATTATATTATAATTAGGCCTAATTTAATTAGGCCCTAATAATTTAATCTATATATATAATTCTCTTCTGGGAGATGCTAGAAAACAAGCTGTAAGCGCGCTCCCTACCACCCCCACCCCTACATGGTCTGGTGAGCTGTGGTTCACGCTAAATGTTTACATTCGTAGAGCCGGGTTTAGTGACGGCTATAAGGGGCAGATAATTTAGTGTGAAATGATTTTAAACTTAGGGGAGGTAGCTAAAAGGAGGCTGCTTTCACGGGGGGGGGGGGGGGGTGTAGGGTAGGGGTTGGGGGAAAGGAGGGTGGGGGGTAGTATCGTCCTTAACGACCTACTGATAGTGTTTGAAAGCAATTAATAGATCTATTTTCAGTGGCAGCATTGGTACTTAAGTACTAATAGTACTATCGAATTAAAAAATTATGAATTACTGAAAAGTAGAAAATAGAACTGCTATTTTTGAGAACTAGGAAAAGAACTGAGTTCAGAACTGCTAATCCCGTCATCGGATATCACTCAACGTTTGACAGAATTTAGAGAATAAGATCGTATATAGATCTATATATAGATCTATATCGATGTATAAAATGGTAGGCCTACCTGATGTTATCTGTATTTTAGAAACCGGAAGCAGTAAATTTTCGGGTATTTCAAAACTTAAGAGTAATCCAAGTATAAATTCTTATAGGGCTGGTAAGTAGGTCACCAACCAGTTCTATGGCTCATGCAGGTTTTATTGAGCCGTAGAACTGGTTGGTGACCTACTTACCAGCCCTATACCTAGATCTATGGATGAAATTTACTGAAACAGTTCAAAAGTTGACAGAAATCTTCGCAAACAATTTAATATCACTTTCTGTTTATATTGCTTTTTCAGTAATGACGCCTGCTTCCACCCCCTGTAAACACTATCCCTTCATATGCCGATGTCATTGAAACAGGTGAACTCTACTTGCCTCAAAGACCGTCAGGTTTGGAAGAGGAACTTTACTTCCCCCCCCCCCCCACACACACACACACAATTCGTCAAGGAGAAGAGTCAGACCAGGGGCGTAGCGAGGGGGGGGGGGCGGGGGGTGCGGACCGCACCGGGTGACACCATTTAGGGGGGTGACACCAAGGCAAAAAATAGCAAAATATATAGAGAAAAACTCGAGGGGGGGGGGTGCAAATCGAAAGTTTGAGGGGGGGGTTGCAAATCGAAAACTTGAGGGGGGGTGCAAATCGAAAGTTTGAGGGGGGGGGGGGGGTGCAAATCGAAAATTTGAAAGTTTGTCCCTGTGAAGGGTCTCTATGCCTCTGCGGGGGGGGGGGGGGGGGGGTGACACCATTAAGTGCCGCACCGGGTGACACCCGACCTCGCTACGCCACTGAGTCAGACCCTAAATTGTCGGCTCAGTTTAGCCACTTCCCCCAGTGGCGTAGCTAGGATTTTTTGGCCCCTATGCAAAAATTATCAGTGGGTCCCTTCGTCAGCTCTTAGGCTATAATGGAGTTAAACGAAGGAATCAAGTGTTACTTAAGATGGAGGGTTTTCAATAATATAAATATTCTGTACATTATGGGCGTGCTGTATGAAAGCGTTGAGTGTACGTTAATCATCCGCCGTAATATAGAGGTTGAATACTTTCAGCGACCGCCTATAGACGTCGCAGCGGTTACTGGTTACACTACCGTAGGTAGCCGGATGTAACCCCTGGTTCGGTTTAAATCCTCTAACGTAGAGGCCCACCGTGTCCTTAGTGTAGGGTGCTCTTGTGCTTGGTGTCATCCGAACACCAGGGGCGTCGAAGGCGCCCCTGTTGCAGTTTGATAGTTGAATAAGTAGCACCCATGCAGGACGCGCAATTAACGAATCCCTTGCACTCAGGTAGCCGCTGGATATCTCGAGGCGACCAACCTTTATTACTGCTGATGCGCTGGAGGACACCTCTTATTTGATTTAGTAATCATTTTAGTATTCCTCCGTATTCCTAGTGGATGGCGCTCATTAAAACGAATATACGCGCCGTAGTGTTCATGGGGGAGCCCGGGGCGCATCGGGTTACACGACCGCCGGGATGCCGGCTGATGCGCCTTTGCAATTAGCCCGCGAATTAAGTAGTAACGCTGACCTGCTGAGCCCAATCAATGGCCCACAGATGCTAAGACAGCCACTGAAAAACCTCAGAAACCTTCCCAAATATCAGAGTTTCTTTCAGATACCTTTCTAGAGAAATGTTTGGGGAAAAAACACTGCCATGCAGTATATTTACAACAACTTTTCAGTTTATTGGCGATTGGTTAAAAACCAAAAACTTATACGACACCACCAGAAGTGTAATTATTGCGAATGTGCCCTACTTTCACCATTCGACCGCCTTCCCTTCCATACTGAATGTCGTTATATGAACAGTAAGAAAGGACTTGGGACCTATTTGGAACTTTTAATTATTTCTAGAGTAGAAAAGAACATGTATTTCTATTTTCTTTTTAAAATTATCTACGTAAATCATAAATTTTAAATTCCAATGAAAAAGTTGAATTTTTTTTAAAGAGGGAAAGGGCCCCTAAATGCTTTGGGCCCCTATGCCTTGCTTACGCTAGCTTTACGGTAGCTACGCCACTGACTTCCCCTACTTCCCCCACCAGTGTTTCTTCCAGACTTTTTTCTCGGGGGGGGGGGGGGCATTTGATATTTTCGGGGGACGGACGGACACTGGTAAAAGTATGTTTTCTATATAGATTCCATTTCGTTCGGGGGGGGGGGGGGGTAGACTTTCTTCCCCCACCCCCGAAGACTGGAAGAAACTCAGTCCCTCACTACCTCACCCTAACCCAATTTCTGTCCTGAAGGGAACACAACCCAGCAATGTTAATTCATCAAGAATTTTAAATTAGTTATTTCCCTTGATAAGAAAACTACAAGATATAAGCAGCACGAGGACCGATGCTCTAATTTATTTATTGGTTAATTTATTATTTTAATTTCTTGGTTAATTTATTATTTTAATTTATTGGTTAATTTATTATTTTAATTTATTGGTTAATTTATTATTTTAATTTATTGGTCTATTTGACTAATATAGAAGCGTTTGAATTGTTTTCCTTTTATCATTATTGTATGTTGCAATTTGTAAAGTCTATGATAGTCTTTTCATTTACGAACTTGAGTCCTTGGCGTCACGCCAACATTTGTACAAACCAATGGTGTCATTTCAAGCAAGCGAATTGGCGACACTAATCTCCTGAATGTTTCTCAAGCTCACTTTATTGCTCAACAGTATGCTACGCCAACTTCTATATAGATTCCATTTCGTTGGGAGCAAATTTTCGATTTGCACCCCCCCCCCCCTCGAAATTTTCATTTGCACCCCCCCCCCCTCAAACTTTCGATTTGCACCCCCCCCCTCGAACTTTTCATTTGCAACCCCCCCTCAAACTTTCAATTTGGCGCCCCCCCCCCCTAAGGTCGGCGCCCGGGGACATATGTCCCCCCCCCCCCCGCCCCCCACTCGCTACGCTACTGGACCAGCTCAACATTATTTTAGACTCGTCTAAAAATTTTTATCCAACCAAAGCCTCAAACTATAAAAGCCCTAAGTAAAGCAAATCCAACTGAAAACTTTTCAAATCCTAGATCCTCAGTGGCGGCGAAAAAACGGGCCACCCCGCAATACATTTGTTTGGGCCATATATACATACATATGTATACATACATATATATATATATCAGAGGCGTAGCGACCCTTCCCGGGGACAAACTTTCAATTTGGCACCCCCCTCGTGAGCAAATTTACAATTTGCACCCCCCCTCAAACTTTCGATTTGCATCCCCCCCCCTCAAATTTTTCTCTATATATTTTGCTATTTTTTGCCTTGGTGCCACCCCCTAAATGGTGTCACCCGGTGCGATCCGCAACCCCCGCCCCTCGCTACGCCTCTGATTGAGCGGGAAAACTTTGAATACCGTTTAGTATACATTTTAAAGGAATGTATGTTTCTTTTATCCAAATATTTTCTTAGTTTATTTATGCGTGTAGTTAAAGAACTGGGGAAATGAAAATTTTAAATTCCTGACTATCTATCACGTACAGCCTGTTCCTTTACAGCCAATCATTGTTTTTCATACTAATCAGGTTATAACTTAGGCTTGATGATAATAAAAAAGAAATGTAGCCTCTAACTCAAAACATTATTTTCAAGTTCTTTGGATTTGCAACTTTTATAACATGGATTCTAAACATATTAAATTTCTGAATTATTTTCAGGCTTAAATTATTTTTTTTAATACTGCTGCTTTGATGGCTAGATCTAAAAAAAAAAACCCACAGGATTTTCTTTATTCATCTCAACAATAATGAAGGAAGGATTCTCGTCAACCATTGAGTTCTAATTAAAGCTATTAATAGCTGCTAGTGGAATCAAAAGAGCACTAACATCCTGTCTACATAACCACACCTTTCCATTGTTAGCCTCCAACAGCTCATTACTTGCCGGCTACTCTACCAGTAATTGATTCTGTAATTACCATGCTAATTACGTTTCATTATCCCAGAAAGGTCAAAGGTTGGCTAAATTCGTCTGTGGATTAAGAGGGTAAATGTATGACGTAACTCACTTCACATAACTAAGTAATTAATTAATTAATTATATGACCACACATTTGACTTGGACCGAAATGTTGTAAGGTGTACGACTGTACTACGACATCCACCATCGCACATCCACCATCAGACATCCACCATCAGACATCCAACATCAGACATCCAACATCAGACATCCAACATCAGACAGACATCCAACATCAGACATCCACCATCAGACATCCAACATCAGACATCCACCATCAGACATCCAACATCAGACATCCAACATCAGACATCCAACATCAGACATCCAACATCAGACAGACATCCAACATCAGACATCCAACATCAGACAGACATCCAACATCAGACATCCAACATCAGACATCCACCATCAGACATCCACCATCAGACATCCAACATCAGACATCCAACATCAGACATCCACCATCAGACATCCAACATCAGACATCCAACATCAGACATCCAACATCAGACATCCAACATCAGACATCCAACATCAGACATCCAACATCAGACATCCAACATCAGACAGACATCCAACATCAGACATCCACCATCAGACAGACATCCAACATCAGACATCCAACATCAGACATCCAACATCAGACATCCAACATCAGACATCCACCATCAGACATCCACCATCAGACATCCAACATCAGACATCCAACATCAGACATCCACCATCAGACATCCAACATCAGACATCCAACATCAGACATCCAACATCAGACATCCAACATCAGACATCCAACATCAGACAGACATCCAACATCAGACATCCAACATCAGACAGACATCCAACATCAGACATCCAACATCAGACATCCAACATCACACAGACATCCACCATCAGACATCCAACATCAGACATCCAACATCAGACATAATACAGTGAGGTTGATTTTTTTATTGGGTGGGGGGATAGATAAAAAAAAACATTTTGAAAGATGTTCAATAGAAACAAGATATTTTATTTCTCTAACCGCGGAATTCTATCATGTCAAAAGCATGACAAATGTCATGTCAAAAGCATGACAAATGTCATGTCAAAAGCATGACAAATGTCATGTCAAAAGCATGACAAATGTCATGTCAAAAGCACGACAAATGTCCAAATGTTTTAAAAATACAACGGATCATGGGATTAGTCAGAGACGAATTATTTTTTTCTAGAACCAACAACATAAAAAAACAAATAATAATATTCAAATAAAAAGCATCTTTATCTATGCACTAGATCGGAAACAAGAATGCGTTGATATTTCTGAATAAAAGTTTTACAAAAATAAAATATCTATGATATCTGAACAACTAAACCTGAAAAATATCTGTTAACAATTGGAGACAGATTGTATCTTTAACAGGGCTTCTTTCAGTCATCTTTTCGGGGAAAGAAAGTACTGCCCCCTCACCCCACCCGCAACGAATCAACCCGCCCTCTCCCGCCCCCCCCCCCGCCACAACGAAGCAACCCGCCTTCTCCCCCCCCCCCCCTTGCCACAACGAAGCACTGCCCTCCACCTCCCACTGAAGCTCACCCTCCCCCCCCCCCCCCCCCGAACAAAATAGAAAAACAATTTATATAGAAAATATGCTTTAGCCAGCCCCCCCCCCCCCCCCCCCCAGAACATTTAAGTGCCCCCGCTCCCCGGGAAAAAAAATTCTAAAAGAAAAAATTGATCTGGCACCGCCATCTGGCACTGATACTAAAAATAAAATTTTAAAAAGTTTTTGTATCGATAAGAAACTTGAAAAAGTTGCCACAAATCCAGAGGTCCCAATACTGTCGACCGTTGAGGTGAAGCTACACGAGTGTGTATTGTTGATATGGGCGCACAAACAAGACATCATCCTTAACGGGGCGCCGGGACTTGTGTACAAGCTGTTGAATCGCCAATTGCTGTACAGGTATATCCTTGGGGACATCTGCAAGTGTTTACTTGGAGGTTCGCTGATTGGCGCGAACAGCTCTGGTGTCTGCTACACACAGCCTGTGGGCAAAGTTTAGGGGAGTTATGTGTATGGGTAGGTGAGGGGGGTGGGGGTAGGTGAGCGGGGGGGGGGGTATCACAGCCTGTGGGCAAAGTTTATGGGAGTTATGTGTATGGGTAGGTGAGGAGGGTGGGGGTAGGTGAGGGAGGGGGGGGGGGGGGGTAGGTGGGGGGGGGGGGGGGCAGGTGAGGGGATCACAGCCTGTGGGCACAGTTTATTGGAGTTATGTGTATGGGTAATTTAGGGGGGGGGGGCAGGTGAGGGGGGGGGGACAGGTGAGGGGTGGGACAAGTGAGGGGGGATCACAGCATGTGGGCAAAGTTTATGGGAGTTATGTGTATGGGTAGGTGAGGGGGGGGGGCAGGTGAGGGGGGATCACAGCATGTGGGCAAAGTTCAGGGGAGTTATGTGTATGGGTAGGTGAGGGGGGGGGGCAGGTGAGGGGGTCACAGGCTGTGGACAAAGTGTATCTTCTGGGCTTTAGTGTCTCTTCTAGACATGTTAGGGGCGTCAGGACTTACCAAATGTGATTTGCATACATGCCAAACGAAGGGCCGATATTGTTGATAGGAGGTCTGCAGTGGGTAATACACGTCATTGTCTGGGCACCGACAGGTCCGAGTCTGTTCCAGATGGGTGGGCACAACATTGCCGGACAGCAACAGAGCCTGGGTCAGACAAAACGGTGGCTGGGTCAGACAAAATGGTGGCTGGGTCAGACAAAATGGTGGCTGGGTCAGACAAAATGGTGGCTGGGTCAGACAAAATGGTGGCTGGGTCAGACAAAATGGTGGCTGGGTCAGACAAAATGGTGGCTGGGTCAGACAAAATGGTGGCTGGGTCAGACAAAGTGGTGGCTGGGTCAGACAAAATGGTGGCTGGGTCAGACAAAATGGTGGCTGGGTCAGACAAAGTGGTGGCTGGGTCAGACAAAATGGTGGCTGGGTCAGACAAAATGGTGGCTGGGTCAGACAAAATGGTGGCTGGGTCAGACAAAATGGTGGCTGGCTTAGACAAAATGGTGGCTGGGTCAGACAAAATGGTGGCTGGGTCAGACAAAATGGTGGCTGGGTCAGACAAAGTGGTGGCTGGGTCAGACAAAATGGTGGCTGGGTCAGACAAAATGGTGGCTGGGTCAGACAAAATGGTGGCTGGGTCAGACAAAATGGTGGCTGGGTCAGACAAAATGGTGGCTGGGTCAGACAAAATGGTGGCTGGGTCAGACAAAATGGTGGCTGGGTCAGACAAAATGGTGGCTGGGTCAGACAAAGTGGTGGCTGGGTCAGACAAAATGGTGGCTGGGTCAGACAAAATGGTGGCTGGGTCAGACAAAGTGGTGGCTGGGTCAGACAAAATGGTGGCTGGGTCAGACAAAATGGTGGCTGGGTCAGACAAAATGGTGGCTGGGTCAGACAAAATGGTGGCTGGCTTAGACAAAATGGTGGCTGGGTCAGACAAAATGGTGGCTGGGTCAGACAAAGTGGTGGCTGGGTCAGACAAAATGGTGGCTGGGTCAGACAAAGTGGTGGCTGGGTCAGACAAAATGGTGGCTGGGTCAGACAAAATGGTGGCTGGGTCAGACAAAGTGGTGGCTGGGTCAGACAAAATGGTGACTGGGTCAGACAAAATGGTGGCTGGGTCAGACAAAATGGTGGCTGGGTCAGACAAAATGGTGGCTGGGTCAGACAAAATGGTGGCTGGGTCAGACAAAATGGTGGCTGGGTCAGACAAAATGGTGGCTGGGTCAGACAAAATGGTGGCTGGGTCAGACAAAATGGTGGCTGGGTCAGACAAAGTGGTGGCTGGGTCAGACAAAATGGTGGCTGGGTCAGACAAAGTGGTGGCTGGGTCAGACAAAATGGTGGCTGGGTCAGACAAAATGGTGGCTGGGTCAGACAAAGTGGTGGCTGGGTCAGACAAAATGGTGGCTGGGTCAGACAAAATGGTGGCTGGGTCAGACAAAATGGTGGCTGGGTCAGACAAAATGGTGGCTGGGTCAGACAAAATGGTGGCTGGGTCAGACAAAATGGTGGCTGGGTCAGACAAAGTGGTGGCTGGGTCAGACAAAATGGTGGCTGGGTCGGACAAAATGGTGGCTGGGTCAGACAAAATGGTGGCTGGGTCAGACAAAATGGTGGCTGGGTCAGACAAAATGGTGGCTGGGTCAGACAAAATGGTGGCTGGGTCAGACAAAATGATGGCTGGGTCAGATAAAATGGTGGCTGGGTCAGACAAAATGGTGGCTGGGTCAGACAAAATGGTGGCTGAGTCAGACAAAATGGTGGCTGGGTCAGACAAAATGTTTGTGTTTGTACCAAATATCCGCCCCCCCCCCCCCTCTTAAGTTTTTGCTCTCTAATTTAGCCAATGGTGTAGCCCCCCCCCCCCCCCCATTCCTCCCCCTACCCTATAGAGTTTGGTGGTTACCAGTTCCAGATGGTTGCAGTATCTGACAGGCTGGGAGGTTTCACAAAAGATCAAGTTCATGGTCATCGTGCCCCCTGCAAGAAACAAAGGGTCAAGGTCAAGGGCAATTGGCAAGCGGAGAATGGCGTCTAAAAGGGTTGGGTTCAAACTGTCAGTCAAAAAGGGTTGGGTTCAAACTGATGGGTCAGTCTAAAAGAGTTGGGTTCAAACTGATGGGTCAGTCTAAAAGGGTTGGGTTTAAACTGTCAGTCTAAAAGGGTTGGGTTCAAACTGACGAGTCACGAACTTACTGCGGGCGGGTAAGTCTACTGATACCATCTTGTGTGTGACGTTGAACTCGGGGCAGACGACACCGTTCCGGCACCTACACTCAGCGTAATAAACGTCGTCCACCAAATTCCCAGCCTCGTCTTTCGTCTCAACCCTCGACTTGCAGGGTTTGGTTGGCAGCGAGCAGAGCTCCTAGGGAGGAAACTCACCAATGTAAATATTGTCTCCGATATCGGCTAGGCTTTGCTCCAGCCTGTAATAGTCATGTCTAAATTGAAATGATCACTGAAACATGTGTTTCTAAATGTAAGACTATTTACAACAACACGTTACACAAATATATTCAGCATCAGAGTCAAAGCATTATACAGAAACCTGCTTGTTACTTATTGTGATACAATTAAAAAATCGGAATAGTATCATGTACATTAAAAAATCGGAATAGTATCATATAAATAAAAAAAATGGGAATAGTATCATGTAAATTAAAAAATCGGAATAGTATCATGTAAATTTTAAAAATCGGAATAGTATCATGTAAATTAAAAAATCGGAATAGTATCATGTAAATTAAAAAATCGGAATAGTATCATGTAAATTAAAAAATCGGAATAGTATCATGTACATTTAAAAATCGGAATAGTATCATGTAAATAAAAAAATCGGAATAGTATCATGTAAATTAAAAAATCGGAATAGTATCATGTAATTTTTAAAAAATCGGAATAGTATCATGTATAAGTATAGTTATACCGTCATACCAAACAATCGCTAACCTTAAACCTAATCCTAACACTAACAATAAAGTAAAAGGGGAAAAAAATATGAAAAATATACGCAAGTGTAAAAGAACATTGCTTAATCACACATATATTATATCTACTATAAAAATAAAATTGCTCATACATTGACTATATCTACTATAAAAATTAAATTACGCTCTCCATAGGGCCTACTCTATATTTACTATTTAAAAAATAATAATATATATATATGTAACTAGGGGAAGTTACCAGAGAAATAAGAACGCAGTACAGCGCTGTCAACTTTGACACGACTGATGTAATAACGCAGGTGTTGGCTGATAACGATCAGAAAGCCAAGGCGTAGTATCTCGGGAAGCGATACGATAAGAACGCAATACGGTCTGTCAACTTTGATGTGACAGGATGCAGATGGCTTATTAAATCGGACTGTACGACAGAAGCGGCGTAATTAACATTCTGATGCAACGATTAGAATCGATTACGATTACGATTATGATAGAACCGGATACGATTACGAATACGAAGGGGATATATAGGAAGGCGACGGCTGAGCTCTGTGTCGGTGTGTGGCTCTCTCTCGATCAGTCAGTCGGTGTGGCTCGCTCTCTCGATCAGTCAGTCAGTGTGGCAGTATCAAGTTGGTTATTGAACGGGTTAGCCGTATTGTGTTAAGAAGGACGATAGACATGTGCATTCAGTTATGTGAAGACTAGTGAGGACTGTTGGGGGTCAGTTGATTCAGACTATTATTGTGAAGCATTCCTTTTGATTCATTATATTATTGTGAAGCATTTCTTTGATTCATGTAATAAAAGGATCAATAGCGAACCTGCATCTTCGAGTATCTATACTGTGGTCGATGTTGTCTAGAATGAGTGGTTAGACTCGGTAACATTTGGCGTTGTCGAGCAGAACTCGTTAACATTTGGCACTACAGGCAAATAGTCTCGTTACATTTGGCGCTGCGGACAGGATGAATTCAACGAGACTTGCCGCTTGAGGCACCCATAGTCAACCTTGTTCATAACTGTGTTTCGTGTGTGTGTGAATTCGGACATTCAGGAACAGTGAAAATTGAGGAACGAGGAAAATTTTTCATACACACACGGTAAGAAAGAACTCTTTTTTTTTACTCAAGGAATAAAATGTCTACTCTGGACGAGAAGCAGACCCATATTGTGGTCCTGCCCAGAGAGTCCCACATTAACAAATTTTACGGGGACGGTGATCCAGCTTTAACCAACAGGTTCAGTGAAGAGGTCAAAGCGGCCTGGGCCTCGAGACACATGTCACCAGAGGAAAGATTAAGACTGCTGATGGGCAGTATAGGAGAGACGGTTAGGGCAGAGGTCAAATGCCACGATAAAACCATCCAATCAGATCCAGATAAGGTGCTGGATCTAATTATGGAGACCTTTGGGGAGAGACGGTCGGGATCGCAACTGCTATCGGGGTTCGTAGGCTTAAAGCAGAGAATGGCGGAGAGTGTGATGGAGTATTCACACCGTATGAACAGGGCCTTTGATTCGGTAAAGGGCAAAACACCTGACATTGATGTACGCCTACTGAGGGACCATTTCATCGAGGGGCTAGCAACCCCGATCTTAAGGAGAGAGTTGAAAGAGGAGGTCCACAAAGACCCGCAGTTGACCTTCCTTCAGGTCAGGAACTCAGCGATCCGCAGGTCCGAGGATGAGGACCAATCGAACTGTTCGGTGGACAAAGTCTCTGTGCCGGAACATAAACCATCCCCACCCACAGGGACCGGCACAGTGGAAACCATGATGGCTCAACTGTTGGCCCACCTGGATAAGATTGACCAACGATTGGAGAGGTTAGAAAGCAGGTCAACAGCTGAGAATCAGGAAAAGAACGGGACAAAACAGAGACAGGTTGGACGGCCGCGACCCGCCGGTCCATCGCTCCGGTGGACGGCTGACGGTCGACCAATTTGCTTGTCCTGTTCACAACCCGGACATATGGCACGGTACTGTCCGGTGAAACGGTCGTCCTCTGTAAGGCAGGGCCAGGCTACAGAGGGGCGAGGTGATGGCCCAAGAAACAAAATGATGGGAGTCTGTCCCGAAATGGTGATTACGATTGGGGACATCGCGGTGAAGGCAATTGTGGATACAGGCTCCCAGGTGACGACAATTACGGAAAATTTTTACACCAAATGGATGAAAGGAAAAGACCATAGGTTGAGGTCTGACACATGCATGCGCCTGACGGCAGCTAATGGACTAACCATTCCATACTGTGGTTATTTTCTGGCGGATGTCGTGGTGGCGGGACATAGGTTGAAGCAGGTTGGGGTGTTCGTTACGAAACACAACCTAGAGACAAATGTGTCAAATATACCTTGCCTGTTGGGCATGAATATTCTTGGCCAGTTGCCAGAATTTCTTACAAATATTGTCGGATCGACCACACCAGGTCGGGGATCCAAGTTGGCCAGGTTTGCCAAGACCAGAGGAAGGATATCAGTCCCGGCAAACACGGTCAAGGCAATCACATTACAAATTGGTGATAGAAGCGTGAATGGTGATGTGATGATAGAACCATGTGGCGCCGCACTGAGGGCAGGCGTCGTGTTACTGCGGACATACACATCAGCGGAAAATGGACTAGTTCAAGGATTAGTGGCAAATGTTTTGGATGAGGAAATTTTTATACCGCCTAATACTCTGGTAGGAGTACCACAGAACGTCGAGGTACTAAGGTCGGCACAGTGCATCGAACTGAGCAATACCAGCAGTAATGAAGTAACAATTAGGTCGGTCAATGTGACGGCCGAGGTGAAGAAAGAGGATGGCCGATCATATACATTCCCGGAAACTGAGGACCCAAAACTAAATGAATTGCTGAATAAGTACAGGGATATATTTGCCTCGTACGAGGGTGATTTGGGTTACACGGAAGTAATAAAACACCAGATACCCTTACTACAGGACAGGCCTGTGGCGCAACCTTATCGAAGATTACCACCAAGTCACTACTCGGCGGTGAAAGCACACCTGAACGATCTACTAAAAAAGGGAATTATTACAACCAGCACGAGCCCGTATGCGGCACCGATAGTAGTGGTAAAAAAGAAGTCAGGGGAGATAAGACTGTGTTGTGATTACCGGAAATTGAACAATATCACAAGAAGGGATGCATTCCCCTTGCCTCGTATTGATGAATGTCTTGATGCGTTGGGGGGAGCAAGATTTTTTTCTACCTTGGATTTGGCTAGCGGCTACCACCAAGTGGCCATGCACCCCAACGATCAACATAAGACTGCATTTATTTCTCCACTGGGACTGTACGAGTGGACCCGTATGCCGTTTGGTCTAACTAATGCGCCTGCTACATTCCAGCGAGTAATGCAGAGTGCTATGAGTGACTTTCTATTTCAAATAATGTTGGTGTACTTGGATGATATACTAGTTTACTCAAAAACTTGGGAGGACCATCTAAAAAGATTAGAACAAGTGTTTCTCCGTCTTAGGGAGATAGGAGTGAAGCTGAACCCAGACAAATGCGGCTTCGGTCTGAAATCGGTACGTTTTTTGGGTTATGTGATTTCGTCGGATGGCATCGCCACTGACCCAGATAAAATTGCAGCTGTTAAAGAATGGAAACAGCCAACAACTACGGTAGAGGTCAGATCATTCTTGGGCTTTGCTTCCTATTATAGAAAATTTGTACCTGGTTTTGCAAAAATTGCCGCACCGTTGCATGACTTGGTAAACAAAATGACAAAGAAACACAGTAAGGAGAAAAAGAAAGGCAAAACACAACTGATAGGTGAATTATGGACTGATGAATGCCTGAACTCGTTTAAGCTCTTGAAAAAGGCTTTGACAGAGACGCCGATATTAGGATACGCAGACTTTGACAAACCATTTCGGCTAGAAATTGACGCCAGCTCTAAAGGTCTGGGAGCTGTGCTATCACAACAACAAAAGCAAGGTTTCAGGGTTATTGCGTATGCCAGTCGAGCTCTGAAGGAATCAGAGAAGAACATGACAAATTACAGCGCCATGAAACTAGAACTTTTGACATTAAAATGGGCTGTGACTGAAAAATTCAGGGACTATCTATTAGGTGCTAAATGTGTGGTATACACTGACAATAACCCCTTGAGTCACCTAAAGACAGCAAAGTTGGGATCCATCGAACAGCGATGGGCAGCAGAATTGGCGCTCTTTGACCTGGAGATAAAATATCGCCCGGGGCGGTCCAATGGCAATGCGGACGCCTTATCAAGGAACCCTTACGAGAGACCGGGCGATGAGGAAGAAACGCTGACAGGAATATGTGGGGTCAGAGCGTCAACAGATATCCCTCATGGGGTACAAGTAATGCAAAACGGACAGACCGGGGTGGAGCACATATCTACAGAGCCCGGACATATGGACATTAGTGATTTTAATTGCC